GGTTGCCCAAGGAAGCTGTGAGTGCTCCAACCCTGGAGGTGTTAAGGCCAGGTTGGACAGAGCCTTGGGTGACATGGTGTAGTGTGAGGTGTCCCTCCTCATGGGAGGGGGGTTGGAACTAGATGATCTTAAGGTCCTTTCCAACCCAAACCATTCTTTGATTCATTCTATGACTCTCGTAGAAATGCAGCCATGCCAGAGCTAGGCTGGCTCAGCCTGAAGTTCAGGGAGATCTGAACTGTTTGACCAAGTGGGGTGAATTCCTCTTAAATCAGACACAGCATCAAACATTCCTGTGACTTTTCAGAAGTCCGATCAAATGTGCTATCTATGCTATGGCTTTGGGATAATTTATGTGTCCTGGATGCCATACTGCATAAAAATAGCTATTATGCTTCTAGACTGTCAGATGTGTCACCTGAACATCTTAAAAAAAAAAAAAAAAGTAATTAATGTTTTGAAATTGCATAAAAATGGTAATTCTTCTGTTCAGAACAACAGTCATGTGAAACTTGCAAGTCAACTCTTCTCTGCTTCCTCTGACTATAACCAACTTCAGGTTTTCTTGGGGAGGGAAGGAAAGGAAGCTGTGTATAAGAACAGCCAGAAATACTAGTGTCTCTCCTCTAAATATATTTAGACTGAGAACCATTCCTTGGAGGTTAGAAGAAAGGAATGGAAAACTTTACTTCCACAAAGTTGTTAATGGTGGAACATTCATTTCCAAAGCATTCAACTTCTTTAGCTTTTAGAAACACTCAGGCATTTCCATTGAGAGCACTGGAATAAAATCAAACCCAAAGACAGCTGCCTGTAAGACAATCTTTCAATAAAAGCATTCCATTTAAGAAAACAGAAAGGAGCTGGGTATTCAGACCAAAATAGAAAATGAATTCCCCTATACTAAATAACTATAGGCGTGTTTTTCCAAGCTTGGAATAACTCAAGTCAGGCAAGCTGCTAATTGGCCTGATTTTTTTCAGAGCTGCTGGCAGGTCAGGATGTCTGAAAAACCAGACCATAGTTATGTATATAAATATGGCTTTAGTTGCCTGGGAACACAAATGTGAAAGATTATCCTCAAACAGCACTTACTCTATATAAACATAGGACACATGCAACTGCTACTAAGCTGTGGCATACCTGTCTTGCAGCAGCCACTGCTTGCTGTTCATAGATGTCTAGGTTCCTGCCCATGAGCTCCAGCGCAGACTGTCGATCAACCAGGGCTTTTGGGTTAGGACTCAGTATGGACTCATGTTCGTACACAGCAGCAATATAATGCCCCTCCCTCTTAACTCTTCCTGAGACAACTTGATAGCAAAAAAAGCAGAAGGACAGCTTCCAGCAAAGATCCACCATCTCTTAACTCTTCCTGAGACAACTTGATAGCAATAAAAGCAGAGGTACAGCTTCCAGCAAAGATCCACCATAGTGTATGCCAGAAATCTAGAGGAAAAAAAAATAAACAGGTGGGGTGGAGAGAGCTTGATCAACAAATCATGCCAGGAATTAAAACTGACTATTAAATATGGACTGTAACCAAGAGTCTCAGCAGAATTTGAACTGAGTGTGTTGTTTTTAAATTCCTGAGTGATCACATGCATATTGTTTCTAAACCTTAAATCTAACTGCATTGGTGCTTTAAGTAACTGTGTCCTGTTTAAAAGCATTTTCACCAAAGGGTCGATATATACGTGCCTTCAAGGGTAAGTTTAAAGTTACCCGAAGCACAACAAAAACAGAATAAAGCCTTGGCATCTCTGTCAACATAAATTAAAGTTACTCAATTTATAGAAACAGTTTTGAGAAGTGAGGTACAATAAGCTACTCTTGCTCTTCTGCATCTTGAGGAAACACTTGGTACTTATGGTGATATCAAGAATAGAGGATCCTACTTTGTCCTATGTAGCTTAGCTCTGCAAATGAAATACCAAAGTACATGTTAAAATATAAAGCAGTAGCAGGGGGAGGGAGAGGAGAGGTAGAAAGCCTCTCATAGTTAAGGAAGCCACTTAAAATAAACAATGTTGCACTCCACTGTCGAAACTCCTTTCTATTTCTGTCATCCTTTCAGAGCCAAAACACCTATTTAGGATAGGAATGGGTTCTAGTCAGCTGTTCCTCAATGAAGTTGTCAACTAAGATGTAATTAGAATTCATCATTAGTAGTGATGGAAAAAGTGGGTGAGTTTCAGATCACAGATGGAATCGCTGTGTTACAAAATTAGCCTTTTGGCCTTCTAAACCGAAAACACCAACATAAAAAATTAGCAGTTAATGGACTTCTACAAAATCTGTTTTACAGATGTGCTTGAAGAATTCCCTTTTTTTTTTTCCCCACCATGGCTTATTTTCTGGTGGTCTGAAACACTCAAAGTACTAACGTGATTCCCTTCCTTGTTCAGATGCACAGGAGGTTTGGCACTGAACATCCAACTACACAATCCCATCTGGCTGAATCTGGGCCAACTAAAATAATTCCTCTGGGTCCTTATCCTTGGTAGTGACTACCGCTAGTACTAGAGATGGTGTCTGAGCACTTACATGAGTGCTCCCTGCTGCCTTTCCCTTAGATGACAGTTTAAACAAGAGAACCCCTCTATCTCATGGATTGCTTCTAACAAGGAGAGCTGTGACAAGCCCAAGGGCTGAGCTTGGAGACAGTAAACTTTCCAGGCAAAATTAGGATATCATCAGGATTTCCTTGACCTTATAGGCTGTTGAGGCTCCAAGTAAGTTTCAGCCACATTCTGGTGGAGGTTTGTGTTTGTTTTTGTAATGCAAAATGCTACACTAATAAATCCTTTTGTTGAAGAGAAGTTTATTTGCTTTGGGTCTACAGAGCTGTCACCTCACCTGAGCCACGACTTTAAAAGCAATTTTCATGAACTGAAATGCTTTAGAATTTCACCTTTTTCTGTTCCTTTCCTCTGACTTACGTGGTCTTTTGCCTGGCAGACACGTTTCAGTAGAATCATTTCACCCAGACAGGAGTATTTCTTAGCAGTTTTACTGTCAGGCAGTCACAGTATTCTAGTTACAGTTTTATACAAAAGGTAGAAAGATTGGTGTTTAAGTTTGGATGCCAAGGAGACAATTTCCCCCAGTCCTGGTGCGGACTGTTTTCCTATTCAGTTTTCCAGAACCAGCTAATCACAGTACATCGTGGAGCAAAGCATTCATTCACTTTTCAGTAACTTTGGAAACTTACAAGTTTGTCAACTCTCACCATACACAGATGTATACACAGAGAAAAACAATACATACCCTGCTTCTTAACACTTTTATACTCCCAAGAATCCACCAGACTGAAAAACAGAAGTAGCACATTATTCTGGGTCCTCCTAAGTGATTAACAGCAAATGCCTGCTAAGCTATAGTAACATAAACAATAAGAATTGTTAGTAGAAAAATAAAATTGCTATGAAAAAAGTCTTTTTTGGTTTTGAGTAATATCCATGATGTTGCTGCCACTCTAATATATTGAATAAAACAATGTCCCCTGCATAAATAAATGTTTGTATTCAGTTTGGGTTTTTTTTCTGCAAAGCAATTGTAGCTCAATATAGAGGTACCTTGCATTTCCTTTTCTGAAAAATGCTTATTCTGTGTGCAATGCATTATATAACTGTGCTCCAATTTCCTGGCTTTTATCCAGAGTGCAATCTATTTATAAAGAAAGAATGTTGCCCCTTCAAATCTAATGTTTTACAGTAAGTTTTATATGTTTCACAGGGTTCCTGGCATACCTTGTCTCATGATTGAAAGATCTGTTAACTAAACGACTGAGGATAACTGAATGCTGCCATTATTAGTGGTTCAGCCTGAACAACTCCAGATGGTAGCACAACCAGCCAGGTGGGGCAGAACATTCTGAACTGTGCCACTTCTCGGACACCTGCAAGCTTGCCATGGCCCAGATGGCCAGAGCCAGGTAAAATGCTGTCCTTCATACAGGATTTGAGCAACTGGTCTAGCGGACGGTGTCCCTGCCCATGGCAGAGGGGTTGGAACTAGCTGATCTTTTAAGGTCCCTTCCAACCTATATGATTTTGGGGAAGTGTCTCACACTGTGCTCCCCCTTCTCCTCACCAATGCTGGCAGCAGGTATCTTCACCTGAAACAGCCTGTACTTTGCCCCGCTCTGTGTCAGCAACCTCCGACCAGCTCCAGAACGCTGCAGGGTCACGCTGCAGAGGCCGCTGCCCTACTTACAAACGCGGTTGGCCCTGCGGCTCCCACAGGCCTCC